CTGTACGAAACTATCACTTATTGCTTGACCTATTCGCGGGCAGATGCCGCTATACGTAACATCCTTGATAGGCTGTTCAAATGAAAATCAAAATAAACATATTTTTAAGAATTATGAGTGTTAGCGAAATTTTGTACTACAGATGAAATATTTGAATATATACAATTACTCGTGATTCAGTACAGATAAAAGTTTAGAATGAAACGGAAGATACATTTTGAAATCTAATTCAATTATTTGAAAGCAAACCAGAATATGGATTTCAACATTGAAAACTTTATCGTAAATTGTACACCTAGAAAATNCTGCCATTCCTCATATTCACTTTCCGAGCTATCTATTGCTTTATTGACTTTTCTTTTTATTTTCTTTATTTCCTTTCTTTTGAGAGGATTCTCCATCTCGGGTTTCTTCAATTTCTCCTCTTGTTTCTTTTGTCTCAAAAGAGCCCTCTCTTGTTTTTCTCTCTCTTTTTCCATTTTGGTATTTTCTTTCTCTTCATGGTACTGCAACCACTTCAATGAAGTTGTTGCATAAGGCAGTCTTTCTTTTCTTGTGGATTCTTTCTTCTCAGGTGACTCCTCTGGCCAAAAAATATGATCTAGGAAGGCTACACTAACTTTTCTTTTTTGTGACTGTGGTGGCGGTACTGGAGTAACAGGTTTCTTTATAAGTATATCACTTAAAACGATTACTTGTTTTTCTTTGTCTGGTGCATTTTTTTCAATCGAAACTTCACACAGATTTGGTTCTTGATCACTTCCATTTTCTTTCATTCCCGTATCATTTTTATATTGGTCCACTTCAGTGTTAGCACTGAATTTTTGATCTTAAGTTCTATCGTTATTTTCTTGTATTTTACTTTCAGCCTCAATAACCTCTTCGACAGTTTTATTGCTTGCATTTTCTGATTCTATATAATTATTGTTTTCTTCATTGTTTTTTCCTTGGCACCTTTTTTTCAGTTTTCTCCAAACAGCATATAATTCTTTAGCTGACTCATCGCCAACCCATTCCCCCATTTCTGCTTTTTTAAATTCTTTCCGTCTTTTTGTTGGAATGAGTGATTCGAAATATATAAAATCTGGTACATCAAAGTTGGTTGGCTTAATTCTCTCTATCCCACTCAGGATTAGTGTTTCTCACAATTTCTGCTGGGATTCTTTCATAAGGATATACAATCATTGGTGGATATATTCGACCGTCAGCGGAAATTGTGAACAAAGCAGTGATGCATTCCTTTTCAGATCCAGTTTTCACTTCATAAAAGTTTTTCATCCCTCGAGGACCTAATACAAGTCCTGTTTTCGGATTTGTTGCAAACCCTGATTCATCGGAGTTTAGAATTCTTGTGGGATTATTTAAAATATCCTCGGCATTTTCTTCTTTCAAATAGGTTCTAATGGACTCATGTCACTCTCGAATCGACTTTTCCGTTACACAAGCTCGTGCTCCATTTATTGATTCAGCATGTCTCTGACAAACCTCAGGGTGACGTTTCATAAATGCCGAAAACCATTTTTTTCAGGCATTTGTGTATTTGTGTATACGTTTGTGTATACGTTCATCGTCTTGGATGATATCCCTTACAGTTTCGCAAAGAGCACTTTTGTTGATGGAAAATCCTTTTTTAGCACACGCCAGCAGCCACCTCACCAGAAGTTCTTCCTCATCTTTAGTAAGTATGGTTGAAGGACCCATTCGTCTTGTTAAGGGAGACCTCCCTTTCAGCTTATTGATCAAAGTAGCATGCGAAACCCCATACAGCTTCTCTGCTTGCCAAATTTTGCATGCATTATTGGTAATGTCGCTCAAAGCCTGTTGTAATTGTGCTTCTGTATATTTGAAGAATTTCTTCTTAGGTTCAGTCATTTCATTTTAGAAAATACAGTGGTTTTACTCAACATATATTACAAAATTGTTTGAAGGTGATTGATAATGTTTCATGATGAATTTCACTAATTNTTGCGGTCAACTACTGGATCCGCTTCGAAATATCTGATTCATTCGAATAAAAACTCACCTTTAACACATACCTAAAGCTATGAAACAGACAGAGATGTGAAAACTTTGATTTCTTTGAAAAACCAGTAGTTGGCCAAAGTGGTCAATTACGGGCACTTTATCCGATATTTCATACCAGTGATTGACCACATTAATTTGAATAGAAAAAATACTCATTTCGACAGTAAATATAGCAAGAATGTTCATTCAACTCAATTCATCTGGCAACCAGTACATGAAATATGTTTCCAATAAAACGTTCAACGTGAACGGATGTATCAAGATATGTTAAAGTGGTCTACTCACCGTGCTTATTGTCACATCACGTGTTCACTATAGGGCAAAGAGGAAACATGTATAACACGACAGTGGCCTACTTATCAAATAAGCGAATTACGTTTAGTGGTGACATCTACAAGAAAAAGGACCAATTAAATGATTAATACTAATGGCAACCATCAGAACGCTGTGGTTTTCTTATTTCTGTGCATGAATAAGAAATTGGTCAATTACGGGGTGCTGGTCAACTATCGGTGCCTCAACCCTATGTAAATAAGAAAATAAGTTTAACATAATCATATCATCTTTTATAAGAAAATCATATCTTCAACGAAGAGTTCGAAATTTTACATACAGAAAATAAATGTCTGAAACTGAATTACTTGGAAGCTTGGAAATTACTTAACTCAAAAATTCAAACATTCTAATAAATGCCAACTGGATTTGAATAGATCACCATTATTGAACTTGTTTTCTTAAAAAACCGAGGAAGTATTATTATAGATGTAGAAGTGAGGTAATATGCTCCAGGTAATCATAATTGAAGAGGTAACTCAGATATATGAGAATCGTAGAGGTTTAGGTAATTTGATGTAGATAGTCCCAATTGTAGTTACTTGTGGTATATAAATATAAGCGTAAGAAGCAACTTGTAATATTCAAATTACTGTTGAAAAAGCTACTGTGTTAGCGAAACATGTCACGATATATTTTTCAAATAAAGTTTATGGAGATCAAATCGTGAGTTGCAGTTTATGAAATTACTATGGATCTTCATCAAGTAACGGGCGAATCAATCAGAAAAAAAAATTCGTTTGAATGCATTTAACACAGAATTACAAGGAAATGGAAAAATAATGTGATCTGATGTGTTAGGAATCACACGTTAAAAGGTAAGACCTCGTTAATCCTTAGCTCGCACAAGTTTCGACTTCTGAGGGTTGTCGTTCGTAGGGGTGCGACAACTGGTTAACGGAAAAACAGATTTTAAACAGATTTTAAACAGATTTTAAACAAAACGTGTCTGCTTTTTGTCGCAAGCTGGATATCTTCGAAAAAGATATAGCTAGACAAGAATTTATTCATTTTCCGACAATTATTAAATATAAAAACAATTCTGAAGAAGACATTGCAGTGTTTGTAAAATTTCTGATCTTTCTTAGGAACGAATTTGCTACAAGATTCCAAGATGCAGAGATGGGCTATCTCCGTTTCTTAAATCGCCATTTGAAGTTGATGTAGCAGCAGAATGGACAGATGTGGCATCACTTTAGATAGAGATAATTGATTTGCAAGATGTGTCTTTGCAAATGTATAAAACGGTATCCACTGAATAATTTTGAGCCAAACATGTCACAGAAAAATATGAAAATTGCAAGAAACTAGCTATAAATTTGGCCACTATATTTGACTCGACATACATATGTAAAACATCTTTCTCGAAGATGAATTTTTTGAAAAACAAATATCGTTCGAGATTCACGGACGCCCACCTAGAAGACACACATCAAATTTGCTGTTCCTCTCGAGAACCAAACTATAAAAAACTCGCTCAAGACCATCGGTGTAATTTCTCACATTAATTTTAGGTCTTGTTTTATAATTTAGAATTTGATTTGAAACCAAAATAATACACAGGTAGCACTTAATTTTTATCAATTGTTTTTTTTTGAACCTCATCAAAATTGTCCCAGTGTCCAGACTCCACCTAAAACTACTTGCCGACCCCTGATCTAAACCAAAACTTTTGAAATCAACCTGTCATTCACACTGTCAGCGGTTTTATTGAAAAAAAAAGATAATATTGGTTTAGATAATGTTCTAAAAACTAAAAATTTATTTGGAAGGTCCTAGGTAGCAGTCATCTCATCACTCTCCACAACAATCTACGGTAATAATCGAATTTCAAGAAATCCATTGGGCGTACTATTTACATCTTTACCCAGATTACGCTATGCCCAACGATTTTATTATTTTTTATCTGATCAATACCGAAGATTGCTGAGGTAAGTGGTGTGATGACTGCTACCTAGGATCTTCCGAATTATTTTTTAGTTTTTAGTGCATCATCTACATCATTATTATCTTTTTTTTCCACATAATTTTTTCACTCATTTCATTTTCAAGTTTTTAGTTAATAATTTTGTTACTCAATACTTTTCATTCTGTTTGATTCATTTAGTGCCTTAGTATAACAAGGTAATAGAGAAAATGTGTGGCTAATAATTAGTCAAAATTATCTTTCATATCCTGCTTCAAAAATCTTTGTCACTCACCAAAATATTTTTGATTTTGATACTTTTAATTCTTTCAGATTATTTCATAATTGAATAAAAAATAAACATATGGAAGGTAAAACCTTCCCATATAAAAGAAATTTACTACTACTACTGCATGTACATAAAACATTTCAATGAGATAAGATACTCTAAAATAATGCTTCGAAAATTTTCACAATATTCAAAATGCATGGAACTGCAGAGCTGAACATTGCATTAATCACTGCTTGCCAGATAACTTGTTTTCCCAATTGTGAGAACCCCATTTTATTCCTACCTCTTTACTGTACAGAACTGACCTTTCCCTTCATCTACTTCTCCAGCTGATTTTCATTGTCTATCAATTTTACACCATAGTATCCTAATTCAAAGTATTGAGCATTCTCTTTGAAATAAACTATGATAATCTCTTTGAAATATAAAAATCTGTCAACAAAATTTCCAGGTTTGTATATGAATACTCTACTTTTTTTATTAGTAATTGAACATATCTATACTAATAAAATTTCACAATTTTTTCTTATCCTGATATTTACTTCAACTCTCAATTTATTTACACATTCATTAAACAATTACTTGCACCCTGTCCTATTGTATTTGTTGTACAAAAACCAATATAATCCATACATAAAGTTAATAGGAGAAGATACAAATTCGCGGGAACTTGAATATGAAATCACTTCCTCTACTGGCATTTCAATAACCTCAATATTCTCTCCATCTACTCCTCCACCACTGTTCAACCTCATATCATCTGTTACTTGGCAGTAATAAAATGTAGAATTTGCTCCAGTACTTTCTGTAAGGTTTTTGATAGTTCCAATTTTTTCAAGGTGGCTGACATCTACATTATAACCAAATTCTTCTAAGATTTCTTCTCGTGCAATTTCTTCACTTGGGATATTTTTGTCCTCTAAACCAGCACAAAATTCCAATGTGATACCGAGAGTGGGTGGAAATTTATTTACATCAACCTTTTCTTCCTTTTCCATTCTCTGGGTTTCAGAAAACACATTCTGAATGTAGGCAGATGGTCTAAACTGCTTTACAAGAACTAGAACATTCCTAGTGCTGTTGTAAATAATTATAACCACGCCGTTTCGCTCCGCAAAAATATTACATATTTTATTTTTACCATCTTGTACATACTTTATAGTGCGAGGAGAACTGTAAATTGTTGGAATATAATCTGTTAAATAAACCTCAGAAACATCTTCCATAACCACTAACTAGTTTCAGAAATCTCAAGATAATTCACATTCACCAACCACCCTTATTTTACATGCAGAAAAATGTAATATGTTATTAGCAAAACTCTTTTTAATTTCATATTTCTTTCATCATCGACACTTGACCACATATGCAGATACACAGACACACACACAAATACAAATCCCCAAATGATTAAAATAACCATACCACCAGTGTTGCCAATACGAAACCGTCAAAGTCCCCACCACAGAACACCCTAACTACATCAGCAAAAGAACATAGTCACATTTCAACCGGCTTCGTTTAAAATTTCTCAAAAAATTCTCACATTTCTCAAAATCTAATTTGATGATTTTTTATATTCTCAAAATATCAAAATAATAATGAAACACAAATTAAATTTTTTATAAATACATAAATTATATGAAACCATAACAGTTCTTAAAATATTAATACAAAACTTTTGATTTTATATAAAAACCAAATAGTAGATGAAAATACATAAAACCAATTCAATGAGTGAATTGTTGAAATAATGGTCATGAAACGTCTTTAAACGTCATATTGATTTCAAGTATCTATAGCATCACACTTTTGAGTAAATTCAGCTACAAATGTAGATTAATCATATGAACTACAGCTGAGAAAAAAATGAATGGATCGTTTTTTCCAAATAGATGAAACCATCAATTTTTGAAAGGTTCAAAATAGACAGCCTCCTTCCTTTCTATATATATCTTCATTGATATGTAAATAAGAGCAAATAATCATTTCAGTTTTCAGCATATGGCAAATTGCTTAGTTTTGATAATCTTCAGTATAAGATCCCCTCAAAACTAGCATTCAAAAATGGCAAAACTAACAAAAACTTTATTATAATTCTCAAATTGGTAAATAGCGGTACTCACACAGCATTTTTGAAATGAAATGCTCTCGACCAGTAAACCTCAAAATCTAAATTTGTATTTAGCTCCAGTAAAGTGTGATCTCCAATCGTTATCAACTTTTTGACTATCAACCCAATTCATTAAAAAATGAAATCTACTAACAAAAATGCACTTTTGATATTACAATTTTGTGCAACTGATGGTTCAAAGTATATATATATACATATATCAAATCAATTAATGTATGAAAATACAGCTGACATTCCTAATCACGGGAGCCATGTTGCAACTGTCGTAAGACCCTTCAATTATTTTCTTTGGAAAATAAACAATAGAATTGTCACTAGCCAACACCAGTTACCGTTTCTTTCTTCATCGAAAACAAGTTCTTCCAAGTAATGAACTTAATAATGTTGCCATTTTATAGATTTTTACGATTAATCAATGACGTTCATCTAATGAGTAAGAGAACAGGCGTTGCCAATAATGCCGTTATGAACGGTAACATCATTCTCAACATCATTACAACTTTCCCCTTTTATAGTACATTGCTGAAATGATAACGGTTACTGAAAAACTCACCATTTATTTTATAATTGTTAGCCGCAAAAATTCCCTGAGATGTTTGTGGAGTCGTTTCCATGATTAAAATATGATTGATGATAGTTTTCGTGAATTACTATCAAATTATATTATCAAATTTGCATAGGTTTCTAGTAAATTCATTTTACTTAATTTGATAGTACTAATACCACTAATAGACCGTATTTCAGAACGATATAAATGTTACTATTTGATTAAACGTAAGAATACATGAATTTATGAAAAATTACTATTATATTTAAGAGTTCGCAAAAAACTCGACAGCAAAAGTAGCCAGTATTAAAATATAAAATAAATATAAAATGACTCGCTCTTTTTCAAGCGAAACTCGAAATACGGTATATTAGCAGTAACGTCTGTAACGGATCATGTGAGATATAAAGTAGGTGTTCTGTGCTAGTTTTTTTTTGCACGAACACGGTACACGAATCAGAATTAGGTGATGTAGCAGTTGATTTGACAGAACTTTCACTTCTGTAATTCTGTTTTCAATTTAACGCTCTGCAGTTCCTGTTTGATCAGATGATAAAAAATTAGTTTCTATAAACAAAAACACCTATGACAATGTCAAAGTTCAAAGTTTTGGTGGTTGTTTACAGTGAGTTCTTCTCTATTGTGCTGAACTAAACGCCTACTGTTTAATGTGTGTCCATATGCATCCTTTGCTTGCATATCTCAAATGGTCAATTATTAGCAAGTTTAAACGTGACCTCCTTCAAAATGCCAAGTTTCAATAATGGACAGAAAGCTCCCAACTCGCAAGTGGACATGGGTGTTCAAACTCCCATTGCTCAATGTTCCACATACACTTTCCCTGAGTCAATTTCCCCAGAAGCAAGAGGTCATCTTCGAAGTATTAGTCATGGAGGTGGAATCGTTCTTGGAGCAAGCAGTTCAGGTGTTGTTGCAAGCAGGTCAGCTTTAAAAGGATCCAGGGGTCACCAAAGAGCCTTGTCTCAGGGTCATATAATTGATTCAAGTATACCTAAGCCGGGTCACAACAGGGTTGGATCGAAAACAGAATTTATTCTACCCCCTGGTCACAAAGAAACTGAGAATACTTCTGGCACCACAGTCAAAAGTTCAGCAAAGGGGCATTCCAGACAAGCTTCCACTTCAGAATCAATATATACTCTCAGGAGGACAGTACCACCGCCAATTTGGAGAAGAATTTTATGTTGGATTATTCGTCGGGCATCTAAGAATGAACAAGAACAACGCTACCGGGTAGTAGTTCCAAATCACATTGTGCCTCCGAAAATCCCTGTGAATGAACATCCTAACGGGCATCAACCAAACAATCGAATTAGGACTACAAAATATACCCTTTTATCCTTTTTACCCAGAAACTTGCTGGAGCAGTTTCACAGAGTAGCTAATTTATATTTTATTTTTATAGTTTTACTAAACTGGTTTCCTGCTATCAATGCTTTCGGTAAAGAAATTGCAATGATACCAGTGTTGTTTGTGCTAGGCGTTACAGCTGTTAAAGACTTGTTTGAAGATCGTAGGAGGCATGCTAGCGATAAAAGAATAAACAATTCCACCTGTAGAATATACAATATTGAAGCAAGTAGGTATAAAAAAGTTTTATGGAAAGACGTGAGAGTCGGAGATTTAATACATTTATCAAACAATGAGGTCGTTCCTGCTGATATACTAGTACTTCGTTCAAGCGATCCCAGTGGCTTATGTTATATAGATACAGGACATTTGGATGGTGAAACCAATCTGAAACAGAGGCAGGTTGCAAGAGGTTTCGTGGAGAAACAGAGCAGCTTTGAACCTAGTAAGTTCAGAAGTACAATTGAAGTAGAGGCTCCCACAACTAAAATATACAGATTCCACGGTGCAATTGTTCATCCATCTGGAAGTAGAATACCAGTTGGAACAAACAACTTGTTATTAAGAGAATGTCTTTTGAAAAATACAGACTTTGTTGAAGGAATAGTTGTGTATGCAGGTCATGAAACCAAAGCTATGCTAAACAATGGTGGTCCGAGGTATAAACGTTCATCTCTAGAGAAGCAAATGAATCAAGATGTCATATGGTGTGTTGTTATATTGATATTTCTTTGTATACTTGGTGCAATAGGCTGCAAACTATGGTTGACTTATTATCAAAACTTACCGCCGCCATTCCAAGAGTCTACGAGTGAAACTACAGAAGCAATTTTAGCATTTTGGACATTTATTATTATTCTACAAATAATGATACCATTGTCTTTATATGTTTCTCTGGAATTGTGTAAAATAATTCAGGTATATCACATTCACCATAATCTTGATCTGTATGATCCTGTAATGGATAAAAGAACCGAGTGTCGTGCCTTAAATATTACGGAGGAACTTGGTCAAATTCAGTACATATTTTCAGATAAAACTGGAACTCTCACTGAAAATCGTATGATATTTCGAAGATGTGCCATTGCTGGAGTAGATTATAATCATCCTCTGCTCGTATCTGAAGAGGATGGCAAAAAACTCACTAACTTAAGTGTTGTTATTAACTCTAACTTATTGAATGATCTACAACAAGAGAGTACAGTTTCTGAAAAAAATTGCAGCCTAAGATTCACCCACTCTGCAAGAATTCAAGAGTTTTTGTTACTGTTGACAATATGTAATACTGTCGTTTGTTCCCAGCACCCTCATTATGATCTCATGAATGCAAGTGGAATTATTGAAGATCCAAATATTTATGAAAAAACAACACAAAACTCTTCCCAAGAAGGCAGTTCTAACACAAATGTTAAGTCAATAAACTGCAGTGATAAATACACCATACTAGATGAATCACGTTCTGTCACTCCTTCTCCACCATTGAATAACTATTTATTTGATTATAAAGGAAATCCTCATGTTCCCACTTTATCACCTATTGAATCTATAGATGAATCGTCAAACTCAGACTCATTGCAGAGCACAAGCAGTAGTTCCAAATATAATCGACCAAATATCCTCAACCTTCCATCAAGAACCTTCTTCAAAAAAGGAAATAATCTCACCGATGAGCAAAAAGCAAGATTGAACCAGCACAAGTCTGCTACACCTTCACCGTTGGATCTCAAACCAATCTTTGAAGCAGAAAGTCCTGATGAATTAGCCTTGGTTGACGCTGCTTATAGCTATGGATGTCGACTTTTAAAACGTACTTCATCTTCAGTTACAGTGGAAATGCAAGAACTTGGAAAAATGAGTTATGAAATTTTGAATGTCCTTCCTTTTGACTCTGTTCGGAAACGTATGAGTATTATTGTAAGACATCCTCATTCAAAACAAATAATTTTATATACTAAAGGTGCAGATACGGCCATTATGCCGCAACTCACCCCTGTGGAAGACGACTCTGAACAAAAATTGATAATCACAAGAACCCAACATCACCTCAACTGTTATGCAAGAGAAGGTCTCAGGGTGCTTGTGATGGCGAAACGAATTATAGCCCAGCACCAATATGATGAATGGTACAGAAAACATCAAGAAGCAGAACTGGCTGTGGATAATCATGAAAGACGACTACGAAACAGCTACTCCTCTATTGAATGTAATTTGACTTTATTAGGGGCCACAGGTATTGAGGATAAACTGCAAGAAGGAGTTCCAGAAACCCTTTCAGCTTTAATATCAGCAGGAATTGTTATTTGGGTTTTAACAGGTGATAAACCTGAAACAGCAATCAATATTGCTTATTCAGCTAAGCTGTTCTCCCCGCAAATGGAGTTGCTGAAGGTGATGGCAAGAACTAAAGAAGCAGCAGAAACTACTATTCACTGCTATCTTGAAGACATTGAGAGATCTTTGAACAAAGACCATAATTATGATAATCAAGCTATGTCTTCTACCCATAGAAATAGCTATCACCAATCAACTAGTGAAAACAAGCCAAGAGCTCTAGCTGTTGACGGTAAAACTTTAACATTCATTCTTGATCGTAGATCTAATTTAACAAAACCATTTTTGAAACTCACTACTCATTGCAACTCTGTACTGTGTTGTAGAGCTACTCCTCTGCAGAAGGCCTATATTGTCAGGGTAGTTAAGGAAGAACTTAAAATGAGAACGTTAGCCATCGGAGATGGTGCCAATGATGTATCGATGATACAGACTGCTGATGTGGGAATCGGAATCTCTGGTCAAGAGGGCATGCAAGCTGTGATGGCTGCAGATTTTGCTCTCAGTAGGTTCAAATACCTGGAGAAATTACTTTTAGTACATGGTCACTGGAGCTATGATCGTCTTTCAAGAATGGTGCTCTATTTCTTCTATAAAAATGCAGCCTTTGTTTTTATTTGCTTTTGGTATCAACTCTACTGTGGTTTTTCTGGTACAGTGATGATTGATCAAATGTACCTCATGCTTTATAATTTATTATTTACATCACTTCCACCTATAGCTATAGCTGTTTATGACCAAGATGCTCCTTCTGAAGTTCTTTTGGAAAATCCATATTTGTATAAGAGAGGACGTTTAGGTCAAGTTTACAGATCTTACTCTTTTTGGTTAACTATGTTAGATGCATTGTATCAAAGCACTTGTATCTTTTTCATTTGTCAGCAAGCCTACAATGAAACAGATGTTGATGTTTTTGAGTTTGGTGCCGCTACAACCACTGCCTGTATGTTTGTTATGCTCTTACATGCCCTTATAGAAATGCGTTCCTGGACTATTATTCATCTAGCCTCTATATTCTTATCGATAGGAGCTTTTTATCTTTACTCACTGGTTTACAATACATACTGTAAACATTGTTTTGGTTTGCCAAGCACCTATTGGACAATACAAATAGCAATGTCTAGAACAATCTATTGGCTAGCAACATTGTTGTCATGTGTTACTGCTCTACTGCCAAGAGTTTTATACAGAATTAGTCAAACTGTCTTAGCACCAGATGAGGTTACAAAGGCTATAGTCAGTCAACAAATAGTTGCTAAAAGAGAACCCATCACGGGGCTCAGCATAACCCTTTAACCACAGTAGACTAGGTGATTAACCACAAAGTGATCCTTACTATTTAACATGTTGATACTACAATTCAATCCTTGCATTTTAAAGGCTGTGATTCTTAATTTAAGGGACCAATTAGAAAAATTGATTCAACTCATTATTGTTAAAGAAACGTGCAACGCAACACATATTTGTGCCATTTTTGTTTCAATATCAACTTCATTTGCACCAATAGACCTGTTATTAGGAATTATTATTAATAAGTAAAAGATGTACTAGTGCATTTCATTTATATTTTTATTATTAAGTTTAGTAACAGTGATTGTATTAAATGATAATTTTATATAAATGAGTATTCATTCCACTTCGTTTTGAAAGTAAAATGCATAATTATATAACCGTTTTCATTTTCGTACTCCTAATTAATTCGTTGATATGTTGAAATGATTCAGTTCGGTGAATACATCTGACCAAATTTGTTAATTCTTTTAAGAAAGAATGTATCGTAAGTCAGAAAATTTCATTTCTTTATAAATTTGAATCATTAGAAGGTCATTCTCTAACCTTTGCAAGGAATTAATCTAATGAAAATATTTTTCCATACAGCAGAACTACAACACTTTTCTCGTTGATTTCAGGCCGCTGATGCCATTATCGTGGTTGTGAAATAAGGAAAGTGCTGCAAATCTGATGAATGGGAAAGATGTTTTTGTTTTTAGGCATAATGACCAATTATGAAAGAATTATATTTTCAGAAAAAACATTACGGTGACATAAATTTCATGAACATTATTATAAGTATATTTTGATGCTGAAGCAAATGAATATGATGCGGCTAGATTTTGAATATTTTGGATTAGTTTCTTTATAATCTTCTGCACTCAGATGAGGTGCCGAAAATCACTGTAGTAAAAATCTTAATGAATTTGAAGTGAATAGAAACTAGTCATTTGCCCAGAGGATTAAAAAACATGCCATTTTTGAGGACAATCTTGAAAACTCATGTAATATAGTTTTACTTGGCTAACGAGTGAGTTTGATATAATATACTGATACAAAATATGAAAGGTATGTATGTAAGTTATTTTCTGGTCTTTGATTGTTATATAAGCAAGTAGAGTAGCGTAAATTATGGTTACTCAGGCCAGAAGGGAAACTAACTTTCTTATTTTGAAATGTTAGTATAATAAAGTTTTTGCAACATGCCTTTGTTTTATGTATCATGATAATTTTTATTGTTTTTTATTTTCATCGTTGTTTCAATAAAATATAATTTTGATGATTTTTTGACACTTCTTGATTTTCAAAGTTAAGTGTATATTATGAATTGTTCATTGTAACTAATTTGATATACAGGGTGTCCCTGGACTTCCTCTTTTCCTCTCGGGAATGTATAGATGGGGTCAAAATATCACCAGTACTTCATATAACTTTTTTTCCTAAAA